AGGAATGACGAGGGTTGTTCCAAATAAGTCTTGGACATGCTTTTTCATCATATAAGATGACCAAAGCGGTATGTGTATGTCAGGGTTATCATACAGTCCCTGCATTACATTATCAAGACAAGGTGAATACTCTAAATTGTTATTTATTGCTTATTCAGCAAGTTTTCAATCACTACAACAAAACTGTTTTTTTATAGCGTTGAATGATAGCATTTATGTTGTAAATGCTATAGATTATATGTACCATATTTTTTGATAGCCTTTGAAAAATTTTAAACGCTATCAATAATTGATCGCTTTTATTTTTGTTCTAGCGCGTTGAAATCTTTAAGCGGGACACCAAAAATTAAAACCGCATGTTGAAAACCATTCTAAAAACCCCAAATCGAGAATCAACAAATAATCCCAGTTCCCGTTCCTTTTCTTTCACCCAAACCCTAACATCCCTCCGACTCGTCGCTACCACCTCCGAGTCATCGCCGGTGCCGCCTCCGACTTGCTATCGCAGCATCTCGCCGCCGCTGCCGCCTCCAAACCCGACCCTCCTCTTCGTCCACCGCCTCGTCTTTCGTCCACCGCCGGAGCCCGCCGGAGCCCCTCCTCGTCTCTCGTCCACCTCTGAAACCCCTCTTATTTGAAGATTCGAGGCAGAGCACTGGGAGCTCAGGGATCAATCTGAAGAGGCTTATTCCTTTGAAATTCCTTTTGAAATTCTTGTTGAGTTTAATTTGATAACTGGGTAAGAGTTTAATTTTGTTTTTCTGTTAGGTATTTGAATGATAATTGCGTATTAGTTTAATTCTCGACAAGAAGTATTAGAAAACCATGTATATGTGCTAAACATTGTTAATCATAATTTTAATCCAATACTTCCTGTTTGCAGTTTATTCCCTTGCAAAGTTAATGAATGTGAAGGATGATCATGGCTCTCTCTCTGCTATTGCAAGGTTAGGTTTTTAATCTCTTTGAAATCTTTATCTCAAGCATGCACACTCTTTTCCTAGGATCTAATCTGCTGATTTATGCATGACTTTGCATTTTTGTGATTCATTCTTTGTGTTATATGTATTTTCATACCAAAGCTAAATGTATTATCTATTTCATTTCAGTATGTTTGCTTTTATACTTGGAGGAAGTAAATTTGATCTTATCCCAGTATTTTACATTGTAATCATAAATCACAGGCAAGGTTCAGGCAGTGCATCCCGCTATTCCCAAATACTATGCAGTTAGCTCTTACAAGAGTCATGTTTGATGCAAACACCAATAATTGGGGCCTGGACCTTTTGGATTAGAAAACGTGTATGACATTTTTAAATTCATCGGCATAATCATTTAAGTAATTTGATTGTTTTTCTTTCTAGAAAACGTGTATGACATTTTTAAATTCATCGGCATAATCATTTAAGTAATTTGATTGTTTTTCTTTCCCATACTTGTGTGGTATATGAAATGAGAATATCTCTAAAGCTCATTCACAAGCTTATTATCTCCTAGGCTAGTTGTTTGTAGTTTTTAAATAGTGAGAACAAGTAGCAGATTGACGAATAACTAACTCTTGCCTAAGCTTAGTGTAATAGTAAAATCTTATACTGCACTGACAGATTGACCAGCTTCTGAATTTTCATGAAGAACGTCTGAATCTTTGCATATTGGGTTACAACTAATTCTACATGTTAATAAAATCATTTCTTGAATCAAAGGTGTATAATTGTGGTGTTAGTAGCTTTTATTTTTGGCTCCCGAAATTTGAATACTTACAGGACCTGCCCTTGTTGGTCTCCATCTCTCTGTTGGGAGCTACCAAATTCCAATATTACATTTTAACACATAAATGTGTTTTGTCGCACACAAAGAGGATAGAGTTAGAAAATATGAGAATTTCTAAATTTCTTTTTGAAATCTTAAAGGTTAATGAAGCTTTGTGGGCATTAAAATTTCCTTATGTTTACCCTGATCCTGAAAGTCATTGATTGCATGCTGCTCTTGCAAAAAATTCAGGACTTGAATCTGATTATATACTTGTTGGTTGTAGAGCAGATGAACTTATTGATCTAATTATGAGATTAAAGCATGGATTCTCCTGATTCTATTTAAGCCATATTCCATTACTATCCTGCACATCATGCATCAAGTATATTAATGTTTATCTTAGTGGTCTTCCACAGATGTGTGCTTCATCTTGGTGACAAGATTTTTGACTGTCCTCCAACATTTACTATGTACGAGTTTGATGAAGTTATGAATGGAGCACTGGTCATCAAAGGTACTTAGTTGGTTTCCTTTTAACCTGCTTCTTCTTTTGTAGAAAAAGGAAATGATTTAAAGTGAAACACAATGGGACTTTTGCTTCATCATTCTTCTAAACTAAAAGAAAAAGAAAAAGTAGGGTCATCTGGTCCAATTAAATTGTTACCAGTTTTGACAGTCTATATGTTTCCATTGTGTTGCAGTTCCAAGATTATCAGATTTTTCTTTGGACGTTTCTTGCGTTGTTGAAGTTGTCAAACTGGAAAAACCAAAATGCATTTTCCTTACATCTCCAAATAATCCAGATGGAAGGTAAATTCCCAATCCATTCTACAACTCATCCTTTTTTCTAACTGTGATTATATTTTAGCATGTTGTTATAGAAAAAAGTTGAGCTATTCATACTGGTGCTCTAGTTATAGTTGATTACTTGTTATTTATTCAAAACTGCAGCCATTTTCTTTGTGATTCTGCTTAGAGCATGGGTCTACCTTGTCTGATATCAGTTGATTGCTATCACATTCTTACAGTACAATCAGTGATGAAGATCTCCTAAAGATTATTAGCGCTCCAGTATTGGTTGTGCTGGATGAAGCTTACATAGAATTCTTTGGTATAAAGTCAAGGATGGACTGGGAAAGAAGCATGACAATTTGATTGTCCTTCGGACATTTAGTAACGAGCAGGTTAATTAGCATCTTCAGCCATTTTCCATATGTATGAGAATGTGATACTTTGTGCTTCAAATCAAGTGCATTTTGAATCCAATTATTCTATATAAGTATATTTATCTTATATTCTTTGGCAGCTCTTTTTTCTGTGCTTAATAATTGTTATAAGTTTGATTATTTAATTTATAGGCAGCTCTTATTATCGAACATGCCTTTCAAATAGGTTTCCTGGTTTCCTTTGTGCTTCAGATATGAACCCTAAACAAGTAAACATCATAGTGAATCTTATCATATTCCTCCTTCAATGCCTTCACTTAGATCCCTAGTCTATAATAAATTGGACTAGTTTCTTTTCTATAATTGATATCACTGTTTTTGCATTGTTGCTAGAGTGTGAACAACTCAAAGAAAAAGTGCAACTTGTTAGATATTGGTGGCTCGGGAAAGATAGTTGCTGAAGGACATTGGTCTTCAAGTGATCCGAACCAGGTTGTTCACTTCGTTCCTTTAGGTCCTAATGCTATGCGTGTTTGGGTTGATATCCCTAGGATCCCTAGTGCATCTCTTTGGAGGCCGACATCTGAGTTAGAATGCATTGAAGATGCCGTTGGTACGACAATAGCTTGGCCGTCAGACAAAGTTGTTATGCTTTGAAAAGCTGGTAAGTTATACATCGTGTGTGTTTACTTTATCATGTTTGTTATAGTTGTAATTTTGGTGTTGTTAATTTATGTTTTTGCAGCAGTACTAGTACTCAATTTCTGAAGATGATGAGTCTCCCAAGTCATATGTAATGCAGCAAAGTTAATTTTTGTTGTTCTGTGTACTATGGTTAATTTCTTGTACTCCATGTTGGATTATCCAAAGACTAGTATTTGTTTTTTGGCACATTTGTGTTGACTCTTCTTGTATACTACAACTTGGTTATGTATCAGTTTGAACCTTTAAATGAAATATTTTCTTTTATGGTTGTCATAATTGGAAGTTATTTCTAGTTCAACCTCAAAGGTTTATAGGCACAACTGAAATGCTATAAGAAGTGGAAACAATTAATGAAATGTTATTAAAAGAAGAAAGACAACATTCGCTGAAACGCCATTGTAGTAACTCAAACGCTATCAAATGTAAGACAATAGCAGCGTTGAAATGCTATGAATGAAAACTAACTAATAGCGTTTTTCAACCGCTATGAAAGATATTTGTCATAGCAATATAGAAACGCTATTGAATACTCTTTTATAGCTATATAAAAACGCTATGGTTGGAAACTTTTTGATAGCGTTTGGGGAAACGCTATGTAAAGCAACAGACCTACTATAGCGGGTTCTGACACAGCGTTGATTAAAACGCTATGAAATAATACCATAGCGTTTTTCAGCCGCTATGGTAGATTTCAGGTGTTGTAGTGAATTACAACTACCATCTGATGATTCACCATCGTTAAGACTGACTACAAAGGGTATAATGTCATTTAGTACAAAACCTTCATTGTAATCAAGCCTAACTTCGGTATTAGCTTCTTCTACGTTGTCTGTGCCTTATGCCAATGATTCAGTAACGGATTTAGCATCATAAATAAGGGAGTCAGTAAAGTAGTTTTCCAACCCCTTAAACGGTTGCTTATCCGCGACCACCATCTTGACCTTATTATTAGTGTCAACATATTTTAAACACTGATGGAGAGTGGAGGGGGCTATAAGATTACTATGGATCCAGGATCGATCCAATAGTAAGTTATAGGAGGTTTCCACATCGAGCACGTAGCACACGACCTCGGACCTTAAATCCCCAAGTTGGCACTTCACACGGATTTTACCCAATGGTCTGGACCCACTGGTATTGAATCCATAGATAATGGTGTCTGTTGAAGACAACTTGTTAGCAGGGATTCCGAAACTATACATCAATAGGAGTGGTATGATACTGATAGCGAAACCCGGATCGACTTGGATCCGGTTGATAACGTTAGAGCCGATGTATCCGGTGAAGTACAGAGACCTATCATACTTCGAGTTTCTCACTTGCATGTCATCCTTAGTGAATGTGATACAAGGGAACTGCTTGGCCACCAAATTGTAATGGTGAACTGGTAGCTCTGGCTCTTTGGGAACTGGTTTGATTTGAGTGAGTAATACGTCAGAATCATCCAAGGCTTCTGTCAGGGCATCCCTAGTGTCTTTGGAAAGACGTAACAACTCGTATAGATTTAACCTCGCTGGAATGTTAGCTAGTTGGGTCATAACATCAAAGCAGTATGGTGTGCTTGAACTTCCCGATTTATCTCTTCCAATCGGACGATTGAATCGAGACTGCTTCGGGTTTTGAACCTTTTGGTGTTAGGGCTCTTTCTCCTTTTGCTTGTTAGTCGGTTGTTGCTGGGGTTTCCCAGCAGGTACAGGGGGAATTGTAACCACCCCTAACTCAACCAACATTTTAGCATTTGGATCAGAGGCTTTGGGATATTTATAGTAGTATTCGTTCCCGCTCCTGGTAGCAAAGGCTTCATGTTCGTCTTTAGAAAGTGATAAGGTAGGGATACCTTCATCATCTTTCTCAGGGATTGCCATGGCGGGACAGTAAGATTTGCCCTTACCCTTGGACTTCTTCTTGGACGAGGACCCTGCCCATTGTTCATCTTTGAGCAAATCTGGATGGACCTAAAGAATTTCGCCATTAAGGACCGTATGCTGCACAAGTCCCTTCTGACGTTGTCCATGGGGATCGTCATTAACCGTTTTCATCTCCACCTTTGATACGAACTCTGACTGAAACCAAGACAGAGGGACAGAACAAAAACTGATAAAAACTATATTTACGCCCACCTTTTTTCCTTAGGATGCTTTGCGGTGATGATACCAACGTCGATCAAGGCTTAGATCTTGTCCTTAAGGGGGTAGCACATCTTAGTGGGATGATGGACCTGTATGTGAAAATCACAATACTTTGGATCTATTGTCCTCTTGGCTTCTTCCTCGTTAGTGATTAGAGGCAATTTGATTTTATTGTTATCCAGGAGGTATTTGAAGATAGCAGGAACTTCATCTTCCTTAAAGGAGTATTCCTTCATGAATTTTGGTTCAGACGTTTTCTGCTGTCTTTGAGGTTGTTGTTATCACTGAGAGGGTGACTTCTGTGGTGCTTGCTGTTATAGCTACAGTTGGAATGTCTGATTCGCATCAAGTACATTCACCGGAATCTTCCCTTTAACACGAGGGAAAAAGTTTTGCTTTGGAGCATTAGCCGCCGGTTGACCTCTTTCAGCCTTCTTCTGTTGAGGAAACGTTCGGT